AAGTCCAAAGTCAGCCCAAATCAAATAGAGGTGATTGTCTCAGTTAAGGAATCAGCGTCAATTTTGGAGTGCCGAAGGTAAACCCTTCCGGCCTGGAGCAGAGGACGAATTACAACTACTTAAAAGTTATAGCACTTCACGGTCCCATATTAGAAATATAAGAACACCGACGAATGGTGGGAATGTCGCAATGAGATCGCCACTATCGACATTCAACTTCGACTGTACTTTCTTCCTTCTACAGATAAACCTGATGTCTTGCCACAGGTGTTCGCTGTTTACAGTCCTCAGAATTTGATTGGAGAATAATGCACACCGTCTATTTATTTCAGCTTTGATAAGTCTAGACAAGTGCCCGGTAGCTGACGCATTATGGAACTTGTATTCACGTTCCTTTCCACGGCAAATTTAGCAGTGGACAGGTTATCCTCAGATTGGATGCCAATGTCGCGCCTGTCCCAGAGATTTCGCAGATAGGGAAACATCAACCTCGTTTTGATATAGCCTTGAGAAATCTCGATAGTCACATCTTCGCAAACTATCAAGCAACTCCCGAGGCAGACAAAGCTCTCGACCACTTTCCGTGTGTCCCTGGCCGACAAAAATGCAGGAACAAGTGCCCGTCAATCTCGCAGTTCGAGTGTGTAAATTACAGACTACATCTAGCAACCTCAATCGCCAAGCTGTTCAACGTGTCTAGAATCGTCGGTGCGTTGTCCCCGAGCAAGGCAATATCATCAGCATGCTCTACAACAGTCTACAACAGTATTTCAGGAAAGAAACTGAACGCCAGAGTTTGTTCGGTAACCCTTTTGGCAGGAAATTTTCTGTCGGAAAGTTAAAAATCGGGAACGAGTGAATGGCTTAGGTCGTTAAGTGCCTTGGAAGCAAAATTTTCACATAAGGATATATGAAAACCACAAAGTTTGTTTTTGGGAACATGGTTAACAAGTGTCAAGTCGTAGCACAGTGCAATTAAGTTCTCTTCAACTGGGCCAAGGAAATCACAGATCATAAATCAGAAGCCGATGTCCGGGTTGATAGATTGCTGGGAGCCCTGTTTCGTGACGGAGTAATAAAACCCAACATGGTACATACACGCACCCAAAGACATTATGCACGGCAGGAATAGAAAAAGGATAAGTTGACATTCGAAAGTAGCAACCACGTTCACAAAATCATATGCTATCGGATCAACAGTAAGTTGGTCTCCGTTGGTCGTGGACTCCAGCACCACGAGATTGTCTTCTAAATCTAAATCTAAATAGTCCTGTCAAAAGCTCCTATCTAAAGCGGTGGCATCCCAGTACCCGTATTCAATTATGTGTGCCGTATACAATTAACACGAAGAGATTTTTCGGGCGAACACTTTAAGAAAAGGCGCCCCTAATGACCACAACAAACTTACACGTTTCTCGACCGAAAATCGCCGCCAGACGCAAACTTTTATTCACACTGGTTTTTGTATTTTCAAGGATGTATTCCGTACGGACCGGTCCAGGCCACAGAGAAACCACGCTAACACGAGCGCCCCGATTTTTCAACTCAATGGACATATCATGCGCCATTCTGTCCAAACCGCATTTACCTGCAGAACAGGATAAAACAACAAAAGGAACAGTTAATGGTCAACTGAAGAATACATGCTAAAAATTAAGTTAACCAACATTACTGGCACAAAGGAAAATGTAAACGTTTCTGGCTTGTTTTTGCGTAAGGCAAATCTTAGCAGGAGATATGAATGCTAGAGTAGGCCGACTGACTTCGATTGAGGCGCATCTGGGTGGCCCTTTCGGACTAGATTCCTGTCACTCGGAAAACGAGGAACGGCTGTTGGTTCTATATTCGAACCACCGCCTATTGCTCGCCAGTACGAACTTCAGATGCTCAAGCTATCGATACGCTACTTGGCGTCCACTCTAGTTGAGTCAGCGACAAACGCAGATCGACTACATCGCTATAAGCCACAAATTGCGGGGTTGCATACAAGATTGCCGATCGCACTCCCCTCAAATCCGATCACGCATTAGTTTGCACCAAGGTGTCCATGTGCTTCGGTGGGCGTTCTAAACGCAAGACACAGCAACGGTTAAACTGTGATAAATTGTCTCAACCAGCATGATTAGCCGTCTTTCAAAAAGCGCTAGATGAAAAGCTAGAACCAACCCCACCAGATGACGTTAATCAGCACTGGTCGTTTATCAAGAATGCTCT